CCCGCCCCCCCCCTCTCCCAGCTGCTGGGCGACTCCCCGCAGTGCCTGCCCCGCGGCAGGAAGCTTTCCCTCGCCTTCTGCCAGCAGCTGGTGCGCAGCATCGCCCACTTCCAGAGCCAGGGCAGCCGGGAGGCCGAGCTGCGCCTCTACGTCTCGCAGGTGACGCAGGTCAGCGGGCTGCTGCGGAGCGTATGGAAGGCCGAGCCCGACACCCTGTTGCCCTCCCTGCAGGAGCTCTTCGCCGTCATCTCCTCCGCCGGTGAGTGCCGGGAGCCGGGGGAAGCCGGAGGGGGGCGGTGGGTTCGCCAGCGCGCAGGGAAAGCCCGACCTCTGGCATCGGTTGCCTTGCAGACGTTTCCTTGGAACCGTTGTTTCCTTGCACAGGTGCTAAAATGCCACTTTGTGGCCGTCGGGAAAGCACAGTCTTTTTCTTTTTTTTTTTCCCGCACAAATTAAAACCGTAGGGGGAGTGGTAATTTATTTAGCTGCAGAGTAGCTTGGCTCTTGGAAATATTTCTCTTGCCATGCTTTAAATTATATTCTGAAACAGCGTTTTGCGTGTCCCGTTAGGAAAAACGAAAACTTTTAAGTATCGGAAGCTGCTCTTCCTCCTAGCTCCCTCCAGAGGGATACCGTAGGCTTCGGAATTGTTTAGTCTACAAAACAGGTGTATGTAAGGAATATATAGAACTTTGATATCATTAGAAAGATTCACTGAGTAATGTAGATGGAATTGTAAATAGGTACTTTCTGACTGCAAAAATCTATTAAATGCTGTATTAGCTCACATCAGAAAGTGCCTTTGCTGCTAAGGTAGCTGGAAAATTTAACATAATATTTTGCCATAACTGGCATGGTTTGCAGATGGCTGTTGAGATAGGACATGAAAAATATCAGCTGTATTGGATCTCTACACCAATCATCGAGTGTGATAAACAATTGTATGGTACTTCTTTTTAGGAAAGAAACCCACTTCTCAGTTCCCTTGAGGGTGGAGGAGTAAGTTGGCAGACTGTCACTTTCTTGCATGGGCATTAGATGAAAAATAGTTTGTAATTCAGTACTTTTAATTGTCCTTAAACCACTGGCACTTGTAAATTTTGATTTGTGATGATAGAATGTTAGATGTGGGATAGAATCTTTGTCTCGTAACTTTACAACTATGGTGATGTTCTAGGATAAATGATAAAAGTATTTTTTTTTTTGTGGGTTTGTTGTTTTTTTTTAGTGTCTTATGTTCAACTTTTACAGATACTTCATTTGAACCTTCTGTTGCATTGGCAAGCCTTGTGCAGCACATACCATTACAGATGATTACAGTACTCATCAGGAGCCTTACTACAGATCCAAATGTGAAAGATGCAAGTATGACTCAAGCTCTGTGCAGGTACTTTTTTTGAAGTTATTTGTCCCTGAAGTTCCATTAAAACCAAACAAAACCCATCTCAAGCCCCCTCTTCCACCTCCTCCCCTTTTGAAATGGAATTTTAAGTTACGTTTTTCAACATACTTAAGCCAGTAACATCGATAGCTCATGGTTTCACAGAATCATAGAATTGTTTGGATTGGAAGGGACCTTAAAGATCATCTAGTTCCAACCCCCCTGCATGGACAGAGACACCTCCCCCTGGACCAGGTTGCTCAAAGCCCCATCCGGTCTGGCCTTTAACACCTTGAGGGATGGACTATCCGCAACTTCTTTGGGCAGCCTGTTGCACTGTGTCACCACCCTCACAGTAAAGAGTTTCTTCCTAATGTCTAATTTGAATCTATCATCTTTCAGTTTACTATATGCCCTTGTAAAAAGTCCCTCTCCAGGTTAAGGTTGCTGCCTTCGTTGCTTGTGTGGCTTCTTTCTCATGCTTTGAAGAGGGTTAAATAGAAATTTTAGAGGAAAGCAGCTGTGTTCCTTCTAGATGACATCTCATGTTTAGATCTCCTACCTTACAAGAGATGGCATAAGTAGTAAACTTCACAGATCTTACAGTCAAGCTAAGAAACAAGGCCATGTATTCAGATGTGCCTTTCTGCTTTTCCAAGAAGCAGAGTGCTGTGTTCACAAGTTTGCCTTAACTCATCATCTCCTCCTCTGAAGAGATGAGCTGGTTATAAATTAGGTTTACTGCTTAGTTTTGAGTGTTTTTTCTGCTTAGATATCTTCATGACATTTTGGTAGGGTTCACAGGGACAGCTTATTTTTTTCCTTTTTCACTCAAGCCTTCAGAGGTTTTTTGGGTGTTTGAATAATAGAAGAATAGGAATGATGTAAATATAATTGCATATTATGCTTCTTGTCACTATTCTAGACATCAGTAAATGTTGAGATTAGCAGCACTGTTAACAGACTGATTCAGATTGTAATTTTGGCTAGTATCTTCTGATATGTGAGTAATAGTGATGCAGAATGATGACAGTGGAAGAAGGATGATGATCTTGAATTTCTTTGAATTATTTTTTTAAAGCTTCTGAAGGAACTGCTACTGAGCACAGTTACTGAAGAGTTAAACACGCACCTGTTAGAAATCTGTGTTTAAAAAAACTTTAAATTATTTTAAATGCTTTTAATGTCTGCTATATTATTTTTAATTGTATCTGTTTGAGTGTAGTGTCATATTTACATAGCTCAGTGAAATACTGAGGGGTTTTTTAATTAAAACATTACTTTTCTTTACATTACATTGAGAAGCCATATTTGAATGGAAAACATTATCTGCTTGAATTTAACAGATTTTAACAAAGCTCTATGCCCAGTCTGATATTCAAAACTGGGAAATTGAGAAGGTTTTGTGCATGCTAATAAGTTTCCAGTAATGTATTGGTGATGATTTTTCATGTTAGGATAATTTTTAACATTTATGTTGTATTACCCAGCTCAACACAATGCAATCTTATTGTTGTGGCTTTAGTGTGGCTTCTCTGTGTATGCCTCTGCTTAGGGCAGTAGCAGTGCTGAGCTTTGGGTATAATAAGAGCTGTTATTATCAAATAAGCTCTCTTCTTAATAACTAGCTTTGTGGTGGGTTTTTTCTCTTGTTTTTGAAAGTGTAGTGCAGTCTTACCTGCATTGTTCATTCCTTGAAGCTATGCTTTATTTTAAGAGCTCCTCCTTCTGTTCCACAGAACTAACTTTTTAGGTACTCCTTGTTACTTGTGTTTGTAGATTTTCATGTCAACATTGTATCCAGATTCTTTTTCTACCTTTGGCAACCCTTTGCAGTAATTACTCCCTTCTGACTTAGAGTAGTAATTGTGAAGAGAATAATGCAGCTGGAATGTTTGGAGCACCAAATTACAATCTTGTCATGAGGCTTGCATCATTCCCAGGAGATGCAGAACTCCAGGCATAACAAGGTCTCCTGATGAGAGTTACCAGATCTTTGGCGATGGCAAATTGGAGACGTTGCTCACTTCCTGAGGAGAGCTTTCATGACACTACAGAGTCTGTCTAAAGTTGAACACATATTAGTAAATATTTTGTAATTAGAAAACTAATAAATTGTATTTGGTTAGAGGGGGGAGTTGGGTCATATTAGGCACAAGTTGGTATAAGAAAGGGTACACGGGGGTTTTTTGCGTCATTGAGTTCTTAATTGGCTCAACTGTCTCATGCAACCTTACTTGAAGCATCAGTGAGAAATAGCAGAAAATATATTTTCTGAGATAGAGGACTACTTTAAGAGTCTACTCCAGAGGTGTCAGAGGAAGTTGCCAGTATTCAGTATCCTGACAAGTATAATGCTTGTTTGCATTTTAACCCAGGTATCTTTGTTAAGAGACACTGAAAATTTTGCTAAGAAAAAGTCCAGCCGTGACCTGGTCCTTTTGCCCTGTTGGTAAAAATGTAAAATATTATAAAATATGTTAAATATTTTGGGGGGTGCCTGGTAATCTAAGAATCTTTGGGTTTGTTTTGTTTTTTTTCTATTCTGAGGGATTTGTACCTGAGCTGCCAGATTCTTTTATCTGATGTGGCTAAGAAAATATTTATATGAAAGAAGTTACTGTCTGAGGTGGCATAGTTCATTGTTTTTTCTACCCAGATATATCAGAAGTACTGTCCTTGTTAGGCACATATGTGGATAGCAGACCTGCTCGTTTTAGGGTGGCAGAAGGTCCTCTTGAAGCCTTTAAGGTCAAACACAAAAGCCATATTCTATGTTTTTATTCATGATCATATGTCCCATATTAATACCTGCCTTTGTATTAAAAATGCGGTCATTGATTGCGTCAAAGCAGGAGCCAAGTAAATCCAATGCAGAGAGGATTTGATAACCAAAATATCTAATCTTCACCTACCAGATCTCAGATTGGATGCTGTTTATGGAAGTCTCAAGCATACCTGCAAATTTACTTCTGTTCCCTCTTCTGACTTTTGTTTCTGCTTTTAAGAACATTGACTCTACTTTTAAGAGCAGAAACAGATTTTAAGGATGGGAGTTCTATCTGTATCAATTATACAGAGAATGAGGCTTCTCTTTACAGTGAATTGTACTGAAGTGGTAGCAGTTACCTTATTAGTAAGTGTTGAATAGTTAACAGTTAATTCTATTGACAAGAGATGACACAGGACGGCCCATCACATAACCAGTGAATGGGATGGAACACAGAAAGCCCCAGCTCCCACCCAAAAGCACCTTTTTTCATTTGAAGCCTATGAGTCAGTGTGATTAAAAGTGCATGTAGCATAAAGAGTGTACTTAGGTATTTTAGAACAGCAGTTCTAATGCAGAGCTCTACAGATTGCTTTTTACTCCTCTAAGAAGTTAATTAAGAAAACTAAATATGTTGTTATTGGGCTCAAATTAACTGTGTGGGTGTTTGTGCCACTGCTGAAAAATACCAAGCCTACAAATTGGAGCAGGGATGAGGTTTGAAGATACTAGGACTTTGAGGCTTGGGGCCTATTTTTAGGTTGAAGTTAATTCTTTGCAGGCAAAAGTAGTTTTGTTTTACTTTATTTCCTATTCTAGAAAGCATGTGGCAAGGCTGCTCAGAAAAAACTTGTTTGAATTTGACACTTGAGGCAATGAAAGCTTTCTGTAAATTCAGAGCAACAATTATGATGTTGCTTTGTGTTTTCCCATGTTTCTGTAACCCAGTAGGATCTGTGCTTGATTGCTTAAAAGGCAGTCCTAGTGATTGCTTATTTTAGAGAAACCTTTGAAAGTTATATGCAGATACAAAATTTTAAGATATATACATTTTAGAATGTGTGTACTGTATTTTTTTCAGATTATAAACTCCATGTAAGTTTTAAGTTGTTTATGGGAATACAACATGCCTCACAATGCATAGCTGGTGTTGATGCAGCCTGTGATTTACTTTTTAGTTGGGAATCTGAGGACTGAAACGCTGATTTTAGTCTGTTTGGAGGTCTTTTAATCTCCAGGAAGAATACAGGGGCTTGTAGCTATGTTTCAGATTGATAATCACTAACTATGCTTATTTACAGTGATCATGACTGCTTATTACATTGGTCACTTGTAACCTGCTCAGTTTTATGCTACAAGTTAGCCTCTTAAAATAATTAAACTTTGTGAAGAGCTTTTTCAGAAAAGAAATAAAGAAATATACTTCTAATTTCCTCTTTTCATTGAATTCTAGAATAGAATCATAGCATCACATAGGTTGAGTGGAGTCTTTGGAAGTCATCTGGTCCAATCCTGCTTGAAGCAAAGTCAGACATTGTTGCTCAGGATGTGTCAGTCCAATTAAGAGTGTTCTGTAAGGATGGAGGAGCCTTGGCCTTAGTGTATAATAACTTGTTTCAGAGTTGGACTGCCCTTGTGGTGGAAAAAAAAATTTCCTTCCACTTAAATAGTGTTGCTTCATCTGGTTGGAAGAAGCGGATCTTGCAGACAATTCAAGTCCAAAATACTGCCAAATAAAACCTAAAAAGAAAAAAATCTGAATTTTGTGTATAGCTTATACTGCCTTACAGTATCATCTATGTCTTAGAATTGCTTCAGCTAATCTGCCTGTCTGCCTTAAATATCAGTGTAATTCGTCTGTTGATTTAGAAGGATAGAATTCCCTTTTTTCTGTTGCTGATATTTCACTGTAATTTGTAGGCACAGAAAAAGTCCCTTTGTTTTTCCTTCATTGAAAATAAATTCTTCCTTTTGGGGCATATGTAAATCCCAGGCTGCTGAGACCTGTTACACAATCCTTACAACACCTGCTGGATATATATATAAAATTACTAGATTTTCTTTTTAACTGAGAGTGTTTGTGTGGCTTCCAGGAGTATAGTTGCAAGTTGAAGAGGCTTCATTTTCACATTTAAAATTAATATTTGGCTTTGGTCAGGCTTGGGGTAAAAGCTGTAGGAGGGAATTTTTCCAGGCACTGGCAGTTTTTCACCATCAGTAGTAAATTTTTGCCACAAAATAGAAATAAAAATGTTGTCTTAATGTCTATAAACCCAGGCTTCATATTCTTAAATAACAAGCAAGAATCATATACATAGTATTTGATTTTATATGATTATGTGCTTTGGAGGGGGCGAGTGTGTTTAATTCTAATGTATGAAATAGAGCAATTTTAATTACAAAATTAAAATACTTATTTTACTACTTGCCTAACATTCATGCGTTACTTTTGAGAATCTTTGTGTTAGTGTGTAACTATCTGGGTAATATATAGAATCTTTTTGTTGAAATAAAAATTAGCAGCATACTGGGTTTTAGTTTCATTTTATATTTTTTCCATTAATCTTTCAGAATGATTGATTGGTTGTCCTGGCCTCTGGCTCAGCATGTGGAAACATGGGTGATTGCACTGCTGAAAGGGCTGGCTGCAGTCCAGAAGTTTACCATCCTCATTGATGTGACACTGCTCAAGATTGAATTGGTATGTTGGAAAAGACCATTCAAAATTGAAGGAGAGGGAAGGGAACTGATAACAGTTATGCAATTGCATAGCATCCTTTGTATTGCAACAGATAGTATTTTTTTATTCTGCAAAGATGATGTACCTATAGCTTTCAATTGCTTGTGATAATTCTTTCTGTTTCAACTTGCTGTATATTTGGAGTTCTGTTTACATTTTTACTGAATTTTTACTTTCTAGATTTACTGAAATAAATGTGGGTTTTTTTAGGTCTTTAATCGACTTTGGTTTCCTCTAGTGAGGCCTGGTGCCCTTGCTGTCCTTTCCCACATGTTACTTAGTTTTCAGCATTCTCCAGAAGCCTTTCATTTGGTAAGTTACTAAGTAAATGTTTTTTAATTATTGGAAATGTGATTCACAGTGTGATTTTTAAAGTGGGTTTAAAGAGTAACAGAATTCATGCACTTGGAATTCCTCTTTGTTTCAAGGTTCCAGAATCAGGATTCTGTGGGTCACAGACTGCTAGGCTTTCTAACTTCCAGGTTCCAACACTTGATCTGTAACTGGGAAACAGTGTTGTTCTTCCTCGTATGTACATATTTCTGGCAGTATTATCTGGACACAGCATTCTAACTTTGACCAAATACTCTGGAAATCTGTTTAATATGTTGTGAAGTCTGCTGATAAAAGTTGGGCTGCAGGTAGACTTTTTTACACATCGCTATTTTGGGGAAACTAGATAACCGGTTATCTACTGCATATAACCTTGTTGCCACGACTAGCTGCACCAAGGAGTACTTACTTCACTTTAAGAAGGCAACCCTATCTGTTTCAATGTACGTGTGGGCAAATTGAAAGGAAGATACTCATTTTAGGGGCCACTCTTCAAAATGCAATTCACTAGTTAAAGAGGTAGATACTAGAGTGTAGCAACTGTTTGTATTAGTACAGTGAGATGTATGTACCTTACCTGTTCTCATACTTAGTTAAACTTAGCTTAAAAGGTTAACTGATATATGGGTCATTGAGACTTAAGCATAGTAACAACCTCACACATTGTTTCTCTGAGTAGTCTCCAAGGCTTGTAGGCCTGAAGGGTTCACAGACCCTTTGATGAGTGTCAAGGGTAATTGTCTTATGCCTAATATATTTTTTTAAAGATAGAAGTCTAAATTTTTTTTTCTCCTCCCTCTTCTGCCCTAATCTTGGCCTAGGATAGAAATTTGAGTCACAAATGAAGAGCCAAGTAGCCTTGAATATGCTCAAAATGTAAATATTTCATTGTCTTGCTTCTTCGTTCCTTAGAGATACAAAACAATCATGAGAAAAATAAAAAATATTATTTTTAAATAAAAATTTCTATTCCAGAAATAGGAGTTTGTTTTAGCAAGGAAAATTTCTACCATAGGCTGCACACAGTACTACATAAACATCTGTCTTCAGGACTTCATCATGGCCATTTTCTCTCCATTTGAAACAGTCTTCACTATCATTTTTGGAGCTACTGCTGTCATTTAGTATCCTGTAATATTATATTGCACTTGTTTAAACCACTTCTTTACTTTTTTATTATAAATGGTCTGAATGTTCACTGTTTAAATACACATTTGATATATTAATTTGTATTGATTTTACAGTGCATTTGAGTTAACAATGCCTTCCCTGTACTTGAATATAATTAGCATTAATGACTTCTTCAAAGAAAAGCTGTCTTGCACACATAGAACTTAAGTGTACTGTGGAATTCTAAAATCTCCAGACATGTAACATTTTAATTTAACTTCCAAGTCAAAACTGATACTTCTGAATGTATTCCAAGTGTAACTTTCATTATTAAGTAGCATGCTGTGAGAATTTGAATCTCAATTTAAGGCAGCTGAAAACTTTTTTCTGTTTTTCTTGTGTTTTCTCTGTGCAAAATTATCATATCTCAGATCTCCTTTGTACAAATCTTATTCTTGGAGCCTCAGTAGTTACTTTCTCATTGTTATCTACTGGCATTTATAAGGTGAAGGAGAGAAATGTGTTTTTATCGCAACATTCACAACTGACTCTAGTAAACTGAACACTTAATCTTGATGTTTTCATTTTTAAACAGTGGATACCTTGCTTACCAAAAGAGTAGGGTTTGTTTCTGTAAAAATATTTGTTATACTTCGAGAACAATTGGTATTTGAAAATGTGGCAAATGCACTAGGCCCCAATTTTACTTTGGTGTTTTCAAGTATAGTAATTCTTGTAATTAGTATACTTTCCTAAAATCATTGTATTCTCAGAACTTCTGTATTTCATGTCTTTACTGCCAAACAATTTGTAAGCTAATTTGCAATGAGAAATTATTCCATCCACTTTCACAGCTAATCCATTTTGATTACTTGAAAACAAACAGAAGTCCAAAAAAGAAGTTCCACTTTTTGGGACTGCGTTGAAATAACTTTCTGCTTGATGTTTTAAGACTAATATAAAAAAAAAATCTCATGCATTGAAAAATACAGCCAGAGCTGCACTGAAGAAGGGGAAGGAGGTGGGGTAAACATTTCTGATGTATACCAAATTTAAAATAGTAATGAATCTGAATTAATCCTCAAATAGGTTACAGTATCAGTCAGTGGTAAGCTTTTTTAGCTTTTTTTTTAGTTCATTGAGCCTAGCTTCCTCACTAGGTGGAGCTGTGAGCCAATTTCTGTCTTGTAAACTGAAATAGCCTGAATGTGTTCATTGGCTTCGGGTAACAAACGTTTCTGTTGAAGAAAAATGGAGAGGTTTGTTTTAAAATCTGTATTTGTGAAATTAGAACAGGATACTGGTAGTGGTGGCACAAAAGAAAAATTTTTGTTTTTAACATCCTTAATAAGATTAGTGCTTTGGACACTTGACCATTTAAAATCTTAACATGTGCTTTCTAAGTTCATAAAGTTCCAAAACTTGATATGTGAGCTAAAGAGAACATTGAATTGTGCTATTTGAAAATTTGAGTAAAGAATAATGCATGTTTTTCAAGTTATTGTTTCTAAAGCACTTACTTAAGAACTGAAGGGCCGCTGTCGTTTGACATGTGTTAAACAGCAAAGTTGAGGAACAAAAAAACTGTAAAAATGAAAATAACACTTGTTTGGGTTTTTTGTTTGTTTTTCCCATTCAGATTGTCCCACATGTGGTTGCTTTGGTTCATTCCTTCAAAAGAGATGGCTTACCTTCCAGTACAGCCTTTTTGATGCAGTTGACTGAGTTGATACACTGTATGATATATCATTACTCAGGATTTCCAGAGCTCTATGAACCCATTCTGGAAGCTGTTAAGGTATATTGGCATTACTAAGAAGGTGGAATGTTTTTGGTTTGCTTTTCCCAATATCAAAGCTATAATCGCATGGATTAAAATTATTTAGAAAGAGAAGAGCTGACTACATAGTCCAACATCAATTCTAACTTTTTGGAATATGCTAGGAAAAAAGCCTGAAATTAGATCCTTCATTAAAAGTAGTCTAATTTCTTAAGCCTCCTGCAACTATTAATATACTTCGGTGAGTTTTATTCTAGGCATTTAATTTCAACCCAAGCTAGAAACTCACTCTTCAAGTACAAGTTCAGAACAGTGATAGTATTGAAGAGAAGTAGGTTCTGAGGAGTACTTGGTATGATGCTAATCTTTCGCTAGCTTCAAAACACCATTATTAAACACATCTTAATACTGCAGTCAGTATTGCATGCCTCTGTGGGTAGAGGATGCTGGTCTATGATGTTTCAAAGCAAAATTTGGCTCCGTTGGAGAAATATTTTAATTGCATAATGCACTTAAAATAGAAATAAATAAAAGAAAAACAAGAAAACCCACTCCAAAACACAAAATTATTGGGAAAAAACCCCAAACAAACAAAAAGCCACAAAACCATAAACCACTCAGATTTTACTGCCTGATTTCACAGCAGTAATATTGCAGTTAAGTGTTTTGACACTAAAAAAGTCCCTATCAACTTAATTCCAAGTATTCATGACTTTTTCAGTCTTATATTCTTATGTTTTTATTTGACAGAGCAGGAAT